TTAAATATTAGGCCGCCTAGCTATGCCATATATTAATTTCAAACTTATGAACTTTGGGGTTGCATGCAATAAAAAAGTATATTTTAAATATACTAAGGGTACATTATATATGTATGTAAGGTACTTTCAATATAAAAATAATGTATTTTTAATATATTAAAAATGTATTTGATATTCATGATCCATACAATTATGTGGACCATCGTTCACACAATAATTTGTCAATAGAAATTGAAATATAAATAAATAAATAAATAAATAAATAAATAAGTAAATATATAACACACACACACACACACACACACACACACACACACACACACACACACACACACACATATATATATATATATATATATATATATATATATATATATTAGAAACTGTTAGTGGAAATTATTATCATTATTATTATTGCAATTATTATTGTTATTGTTATTATAATTAACAATATTATTATGGTCTTGTGAAAATTAAATGTTGATTATTACCATTTAATTCTCACAAGGCCATATGACTTTATTATATATATGATTATAAGATTATAGACGTGTAATTATTAATAATTTTATAATACATTTTTAATATTTGATATTGTATATTATTTGTGTATTAAAGGTAAATTATATCTAGAATGTATATGTTAATTCACATGTTAATTATATACTTCTTTGATGTATATATTTCTACATTTAAATGTATTATTTACTACTGATGGGGAAATTGAATTACATTTATTTTATTTGTATTTGTAGAAATTGATATTTTAGTTCAACAAAATATTACAAGTTCCTTTCAAATTAATGAATTATAGTCCAATCAAAATCAAACTCACTTTGTTGGAGTATTTCAAACATCATTATCTATCACCAAGAAATACGTTATGACTGACACTTATTTTGTAATGTTAGTAGGCATTATGTTGCAGTCATGGAAAGATCAAGTTACCACCTACAAATAGTCCACCTCCTACAATAGGGCAGTTGTTCTTTAACTAAGATAAAAAGAGTACACATTTCTTGAAAAACATTCGGTCGTTTAACAATATGTTTTGATTTACTTCCATGGGTAGAAAATTGATAAAACAATTAACAATGCAATGTAGTTGTGGGGGATCTAGAGGTCTTTTAAACAAAGACTCAAAATGTAGTTTACAAAGAAATATTTAATAATGTGTAATTGTTTTGTTTATGGAACGTCAATAAATTATATTTTGTCTATTTATTACATCTAAAACCTTATTGGTCCTATATCTTCAATATAACAATCTTTTATATATTACATCATAATATATATAAGCTTGATTGTAAATATATATTGTTGGACAGTTTTTTTTTTTTTTTTTTTTTTTTTTTTTTTTTTTTTTTTTTTTTACTTACAAATTTAAGTTGTATATTGGTCTAATTACTTATGTTTGTGGACTATAGTTTTAAATTTACTAAAAATGCATTATTTTATAATATAAATAAATACCATAATAAAATTTTATTATGGCAATAATGTAAATTCAGAATATTAATAGTGTATACTTTATTCATGGTTCACAAATATATGTATCTATAGTTAATGTAATAATGATTAACTTCTATAAGATCAGCTAAATTATTATTTCTTAATAATTTTAGTTATATATGTTTTGTATTAAGATCAGGGCCGTTCCATTACAAATTAGGGTCCTGTGCAATATTTAAATTTGGGCCCCCCTTTTTAAGTAATTTTTATATATAAATAATAGCAATCGTTATACTCTACACCACGACGCACGTAGCACTGTGCGCCGCGCGCCTCCCAAAATGGAGGTCGTTTTGGGAAGCGCGGTAGGAAGTTGTTGTGATTATGTATATTTGTTCATACAATTATGTATATGTTTTATACAATTATGTACACTTTTTTTATACAATTATGTACATCCGAATCAGGAAATTTTTGTGTATTATGTTAAGAGTTGATGTGTATTAGGTTAAAAGTTTATGTTTATTATGTATTATGTTAGATTATGTGTATTATCTTTTAAAAAACAATATGTATATTTGTTATACAATTATGTACATTCATGTATAACATTATGTACATTTTTTAACATGGGTTTTTTAAAGAAAAATTAACTGCCAAACACTAGGGCGGGAAATTTCAAATGCAACAAGACTTCAAATCCATATCTGCCATAGAAACTAAACAAAAAACCACAATCATCTTATAGATTGTATTCTTATTATTTTCATTGTCACAGTGATACCTATCATTGTTGTACACACTATCATTTAGATTTTTTTCAATCTTACAATCATCTTGATCTTCTATATGAAGATTAGCATCTAATAATTTTTCATTGGCATCATCTTTTTGCTCATCTATTTGAGTTTTTTTTTTTGTAATGAATTTTTCAAGAGCCCCCTTTTGAGATTGAGTTAGTTGCTCAATTCTTCTTTTCTTTTTACGCTTCTCAAACTCAGATGAATATTTTCTAGAAGACATAAAATCCAAAGGAAAAATAAAAATTTATTTAGAAACTCTATGAATAAATAAATAATTAATCAAGAAATAAATTCTTAAATATATTATTCTGAAATCAGAATTATTAAGTCATGTAAATAAGTAAATAACACAATAAAGAAGAATTGTAAAACAATACATAATTTAAATTACATGTCAAGAGAATTAAAGAACTTTAGAGTTTGTATGATAAAAAAAGAATTGAATAATCAGAAGCACACGAGCTGAATCTGTTGTCTTTACGTCAATTTTGTCAATTCATTAAGTTGTACTGCCTGGACAAACAATAAAACTAAATTATGTGATAATTTATTCACTGAATTTGAGAATTCTCAAATTGGCAAATTTAATTTTAATTTTGATTTTTGCATAATCATTTAATCAGTAACTAACAAGTAACAATTAACAAACTAATAGCACTACTCAATTACTGAAACTAGAAGTAATAATATTGAATCTGCAAAACAGCAAAAGTAATAACTAATAAGTAAGTTTTCAAAAAAAAAAAAAAAACTAATAAGTAATAAACACATACCTATTACCTAGTCTGCTAGAGTGCTAGTCATAGACATTAGAGTATTACACAATTGTCTCTCGTCTCTTCTGTGATCTGTCCGTCTACTCCGTGTATCCGCCACTCTCCGCCGTAATACTCGTACGCAATACGCTACATAAAGGCTTAGTCGCTTAGGGTAATAGGTTTTTGACTTTGTCGGCTTCACATGCTTCCGTGATTCGCTATTTCGCTTGATATATATACATAGTATAATTTTTTTTTTTTTTTTTAAATAAGGGGCCCCCAAAATTTGGGGGCCCTGTGCGGCGGCCCTGGGCAGACTTGCCCAGGGCCGGCCCTGATTAAGATTATAATTAAAAGTACGTAAAATCATTCTTCTACTATTTTCTCGCATAAACTTTCGTAGTAAAGCTTATTTGGTAAGTAAATGTCAAATTCAAATTAATTTACAAAGAAATCTTTAATAATGTGTAATTGTTTTGTTTATGGAACGCTAATAAATTATATTTTGTCTATTTATTACATCTAAAATCTTATTGGTCCTATATATTCAATATAACAATCTTTATATATTGCATCATAATATCATGGCCGTGCAACGCACGGGGGCAACTACTAGTTCAAGTTTAAGTTCAGAAGTTATAGAATTTAGCAATACAACACTGCCAAGTGCCAATCTGCATAAGTGCATAACTGATAACACATTCAAATTTCAAAATTTCAATAAGGAAAATAACCCAAGAATCTGAGATGAGAATATGAGATGGGTGAGGGTTGTGAGGCGGTGAAGGCGTGACTCGGGAGGCTGAGGCGCTGAGCGTAGGGGGTGACCACGGTTCGGTTCGAACCAGTTCGAACCGTAACCATTACTGTGCTAACCGTACCGTAACCGGAACCAATAAGCTAAGGTTCCGGTTAAGGTTTTTGTAATTAAGGAACCAGAACCGGAAAAAAAAAAATAAAAAAATTAAAAGCTGCAGCCGTCTGCCACACTGCCGCATTAGGCAGTGGGCAGAGTGGGACGTGAGACTTGAAGTCTGGCGCAAAGGCCAAAGACCAAACTTTGGTCTTTGGCCTTTGCGCCAAGAGAACAAAAATTAAAAAAAAAAAGCATATTTTTTAATTTTTTTTTAAATAAATCCGGTTAGAACCGATGGTTCTAACCGAAATCGTCGGTTCGTGAACCGGAACCGGAACCTTGTTATAAGGTTCCGGAACCTTGGCCATTTGCGGAATCAGAACCGGAACCGCGGTCACCCCTAGCTAAGCGACGACTAGCGACTTCGAATTGGTGTGAGGCAGTTAGGCGAGAGGGCTGCGGGAAGACATGAGAGAGGGTTTCGGCCTTAAAGTGAGGGTTGGCACCTGGCGGAGTAGAGGGCTGCAACTCCTTTCTCGCCGGTGAGCGCTACGCGATTGGCCGGTGCAGTTGCGATTGGCCAGAGACTACTGGACGTCTGCACTAGGGGTTCGCGATAAGTTGAGAGAATAAGAGATTGGGAATTTCGGATGAGAGACAGAAGACAAAGAGGGTAAAGACGTTACTAGTCTTTTCCTTTATTATATATATATATATATATATATATATATATATATATATATATATATATATATATATATATATATATATATATATATATATATATATATATATAGGGACGCACTCAGGTGCGAATAAGTGCTCAGGAAGGAAATGCGAACGAATCAACGCGCGACACGTGTCCAGATCTAATAAATTAAAAAAAAATGCGGTGGCATTTTCGTAAATAATTGAACATCTAGGTGCAAGTAAAATCATTTACAAGTGCATCTACTTTCACCTATAAGTGCATGTAATTTTTCCTTGTTAACATTCACTTCCCTCAACCATTCATTCACCTGAGTGTGCTTATAACTATATGTGCAACTATTTATAACTATAGGTGCAACTACTTATAACTATTGGTGCACCTACTTTCACCTATAAGTGCATGTAATTTTGCCTTGTTAACATTCATTAATCTGAGTTCAGCGGGTAGTAATACGCCTGAAAACCACTCGCAAACATTCATACACCTAGGTGCAACTACTTATAACTATGTGTGCAACTACTTAGAACTATAGGTGCAACTAAATGCTCAGTGTAAATTTTTACTTGCACCTATAATACATTTTACATGCACTTGTAATACATTTTACTTGCACTTCGATGTTCAATTATTTACGAAAATGCCACCGCGTTTTTTTAAAAAATCAGTGTTTCTCATCCATTAGATCTGGACACGTGGACGGACAACATCCATTCCTATTTCGTGCCTGGGCGAGCCGTTCGCACCCGAGTGCAACTCTCTCTCTCTCTCTCTCTCTCTATATATATATATATATATATATATATATATATATATATATATATATATATATATATGGGTTGCATTCAAATACAAACCCCCTTAAATACAAACTTGAGCTTGTGCTCATATTAACATACTTACATGCACACAGGGCGCACTGCCAACAATTTATGGGATTAGCTCGTGCACACATTAACATACTTACACGCACACAGTGTATATATATATATATATATATAGTGTCGGTTATTCGGTGACTGCAGTTTTCAATTGCTAATTAGCGATAAAATAACCGAATGGCCGAATAACCAATTTTTTTTTTCTTGTAATCGATAACCGACCGAAAATTGAAATTTTTGATTATTGGTTATCGATTTTTCGGTATTTTTGCTCACCCCTATATAAATCATATGAAAATACAAAGGACTAATATCGTTATTCACATATCCTTGTTTTAAGAGAAATTCACTCAGACGACAAAATCACATTCTTCCATATTGTTTTAAACCATATAATGATGTTTGTAATTTGACAATATACATGTTTCGATCTTTCTTACCCTTCCACAATGGGTTTTGGGTACCTTCGGGTACTTCCATGTATATATCAACTTCTAGTGATCCATATAAGTAGGCGATCACAACGTTCATTAACTGCATATCTAAATTCATTTTTGCACTCAGTGTTATTAAGTAGCGGAACGAAGTGTCATCAATAACAGGAGAATATGTCTGCTCAAAATCAATACCGGGTCTCTGTGAAAACCCTTGAGCCACCAACCTCGCTTTATATCTAACCACCTCATTATTTTCATTTCTCTTTCGTACAAACACTGTTGGTACTGATAGGGTGGTAAAAAGTCTAGATGGGGGGTGAATAGACTTTTTAAACTTTTTCACAATTAATAACACTTTGGTAATTTCAACTCTAAGTAACAAGATATGAAACTTAGATGCGCATCGGAATAATTTAAACAACCAAGTGTTACGTAGAATCAAAGAGATATATCACATGCAATATTATAACTATGCTTGGTATGGCTCAAATAATAAGTATGCTAATTTATGCCCTCATGCATACGTGAAAACCACTAGAACCAAATGAATAAATTCGCACAATATAAGATGGGTCAGTGAAATATTCAACATGCAAGACAACAAAATATTTAAAGAGATGGTTCACTCAACATGTGTGTGATATCACGTGTGAATCAATGAATGAATCCAAATGGAATAGTGTTTGCATGCACTTGTAAAGTCACATAACCCAAATAATGAGATAGATAAATATGACGAATAGTAAATGGGTTAGTATGCATGCAATAATAAATAAAAACAGTAAGTAAATGAGAGAGGCAATTTATAGTGGTTCAGAGGTGGTGTAATCCTCCTAGTCCACTCTTCTCCTTTCACTCCAAGGAGGAAATTCACTATCTCGTTCACCCAGATACAAATAGTGAATCAAGTGCACACAAGCATTTCCCGAGTGTTTTGCACACAGCTACACTCAATCCGAGTATGTCGCACAAAGCCATACTCCCGAGTATCTCGCACAAAGCTATACTCATACACTAACTAAGTGTCTTGCACCCAGCTACACTTAGCACCACCGAGCGTGTCGCACACAACTACACTCAGCAACCACGAGTGTCTCGCACAAAGCTACACTCACGAGTGTCTTGCACAAAGCTACACTCAATAGGGTAGTGTCTTGCACAAAGCTACACTCAACCCTCTTTCTACACACAGTAGAGGTAAGATTTAGAGAAAACAAATTTCTCTTCTAATGACTTGAAGAATATCTCTCGTGTAAGCTCAGACTAGATATTTCAAATTTTTGCTTATATTTTCTTCTTTGTATTGCCTTGCCTTCTCTTTTTCGTGTATTGCACTCTCTTGTCTCTACTTCATGTCTTCAAGTCTTCTGGTATATATAGCTGAAGAAGCTATATTACCGTTGTAACTTCAGTTGATCTTGATTGTTTATCTTTGATAAGCTACACATTATTGCCAACTTGCATTGTGGTGAATTAATGCAAGAGATGGGCTTCTTACAGTGAGTTTGAAAATCCTCACCTGACAAATCTTCCCAAGTCGTATATGTCGGCTCATCAGCTGAATCTTCTCCGAAAAATAATTTCCTTATCTTGACGGATTCAAAATGATGAAATCTTCCAAAAGATTTTCTGCTGATTCTTGCTTGAGTAAAAAATATATCTTCGTCCATTTCTTCTTCTGAAATGATTTGAGATATGTAGTAATAGATTTAAATGAGAAAGAAGATGTGTAGAAGAATTCACGTGCATCTTCCTTATCATGTCCACAAGCTTCCAAACTTGTAGTCAACTTAGCCTTACATGTGTCCACATTGTAGCATGCACTCAACAAGTGTCATCTTTAAAAAATATACTTCAAATGAGATTCAAACACAAGCCCAACAACATATACCTCTTATACTTTTGCCATTACACCATATTAACTCATTGGTTAATAATTCTGGATTTAATCTTTATTCCCAGAATGGCTTTAGTAGCATTTTAGATTAATTCATAAATTAATCCGAGTTGCTTCTTGGTTGTCCCCTATCAGCTCCTTCGTCGTCCCCTTCTATATATCTTACTCAAAAATGTAGAGATTAAATTTCAAACCCATGACCTCTGACTTTAGTCACCTTATTCCTTATCCACTTCACCACTTGATCCTTTGGTGTTTTCAAAGATAAATAATTCTCAAATAGTAACATTCTGGATAAGTATATTTTGCTAAGAATTCGTAGACTTTATGGCTTGACTTGGGACTTAGACTAATAGACAACTTAGACTCAAAATAAAATAGGGGGTTCTAAAAATACAAATTTGGCTCATCAAAACTATTACATTTTATTCCTAACAAATTCCCCTTTTTTGATGATGCCAAAACCTATACCCGAACATTTTGGCTTAGTCCAGTCAAAAACTATAATCTTTTATTTTTCTTTCTTTTATTTTATTTTGACTAGCCAATTTGACGAGTTTAACAAAATTTGGACCTAAGGACTTTTTACTTTTAGACACGTAAAAATGTTGCAATTTTTGAGGATTAATTTTAATTTCTTTTGTTAACTTGTTTTCTTCCATCAAATTGCATTTTACAAAGCTAAACATGTGTCTAAAAATTAAAAAGCATAAAGCTAAATAAAATATGACTAGATAGATTAATTGCATCAAATTCAACAAGCCATATTACAAACTTAGCAAAATGTACTGAAATCTTAAGCATCTTCACGGTCCTATCATGCTATTTACTCTAGCTCTTAGCTTAATAAAATTACCTTTGCAATTAGCATGATATAATATAATTGCTTCACTTGCCCTTTGAGATAGCATGAAAAAGCTCCACGTACATCTCCCTTGCTTGTTGGAAAAACATTTCTAGTGTACCACTTGGCACATTCGAAAATGCTCCTTCCTTCCTTTAGTTCGTCCACATTCGGTACGAGTGCGGCAAATGATGCAATGATATCTTCATTCGGTGAACTTCCTTCCCCCCTGAAGGTATGCACGGCTCGAACTGCTCGAGCCTTGTCCACCATGTCCAAATCCACCACCAAAATGAGAGGGTTGTTCCCTTTCCCCCTTTTTGGTGTCATCAAAAATCATCTTTACCATATCAGTGCCCTTCTTGGATAAGGTCACAATTTCCTTGACCACCGAGTCGGTACGCAAAGTCGTGCTAGCCATTCCTTGGAGAAAATCCTTAATTATGGATAACTCCTTCTTGATCATTCGAATATCATCTCCATGTGTGTCAATCTTTTCAATTGTTTTTCGTAGATCCTCAACCTTCACGCACACTTTGAAAAGTAACTTCTCATGCCTAATTTTGTGCATCATATTCTCGGCATGGTGAGACTTTTCAAGATTGACTTGAGCACTTCTTTCCTCCTCAAGGGCTATAGTTAACCTGTCCACAAAAGAATTCAAAAACTCAACAATTGTCGGGTTAGAATCTTCAGCATGTGCTTCAATGGCCTTCTTTAGTTCCTTCAAGGCCTTGATCACCTCAACATTAGAACCTTTTTCTTTGTCACTTTTGTTGATTTCTTCATCTTCATTCGAATGTTCATCCAAAATGTCAACAACAATATGCTCATCATCATCTTTTCGGACTTATCTTCCTCTGCTTGGTTGTCCAACTCAACATCTTCTTGTTGTTCTCTTTCCTTGGCCTCTGGATCAGCCCCTAAATCAGCATGTAGAACTGGTTCATCATACACCATAAAATCAGTGTTCAAATATGCCACAAGGTTAGTATCCAAATCAGCCATAATGTCATCCCCTGTGTTGTCTCTCTGGTCATCCCCTGTGTTATCCCCTGCTTCTTCTTCTTGGATTTCTTCATTTTCATCTGCCCGGATGGTGTTAGAAGTGTCCAAGACCTCATTCTGTTCCTCAACAGCAACTGTATCATCTCCAGCAGCCACATCTTCATCTCTAATCTCAACTCTTGGTGTTCTTTTCTTTCTAAACACACGACTCAAAGGAATGTCATCATCCATTTGTTCTTCTTCACTTTCATGTTCCTCAACTCTTTCTCTTTTGACATTAACTCGAAATAAGTACTTGCTAGAAAGAATTGACTTTCTATCTTTCATTTGGATGCCTTTCCTCCTTAAGAGTTCACCAATCATGAGACCATAACTAGGCTTGTCTTCTTTATTCACCATTGTGACCAATCGGTTGAAAATTACCTTGATCCAATCCAACTTCTTTCCATGAACCACAACATGCATCATACTTGCTATTTGTAATGTAGATTTATCAAATCCACCTAATTTACACAATACACACTTGGCAAGAACTTCAACAAGTTTACAAAATTCCCATTTGAACAATTCGGACTTCCTCCCAGAAAATTTGGTTACATTCAAACTGTCATTAATTCGAACTTTTGTCCAAAACTCAAACTGATCAAAATAATAATTATCTGATACCATTTGTTCAAATTATTGAGTATGGAAAATGTTCAGCTCAAGGATATCTCAGATGAATTAGATACATGCATAAAAGATACATGCAAAAATATTTTGTCAAAAAGAGATAATGATTAGTTCAACCAAATTCATTGGGGTAGATGCACAATAAATTTCATTCTCTGACACTATGTACATGTGTTATGCAAACAAGACAAATCCTTTTCCAAGGTAAATTTTTATGTGCCAGGTAAAAACTCTATGACTTTACAGATGGCTATGCTAGTGAGTAGGGTAAAAATTTTGTAAAAAATACACATTAGACACGTACAAACTTTGGTTTAATTACATGCACAAGATAACATCAAACTTTAAGGATTATAAGACACGAATTTTTATAATTTTTTTTAATAATAAAAAAAATTGCATTTTAATTTACACAAAATCACATAACATGCAAAACACAATTAACACAAATAATTATGCAATTAACACATATAGGTACGTGACAAATAAAATAAACATAATAACCAAAATTAAATTTAAATAAATTGAGCTTAAGGATAGAGAACGTGATACTTAGCTCATTTCAATCATGCCCAACTCATGCCTTAGAGTGATAAATCGTGATTCACACAAAGGCTTTGTCAGAATATCTGCTAGTTGATTTTTTGTTGGTACGTGATCGATTTTGATGTCTTTCTTCTCAACATGATCTCGTATAAAATGGCGTCGGACATCAATGTGCTTTGTCCTTGAATGAAGTATTGGGTTTTGAGAAATTGCTATGGCGCTAGTATTATCACAGAAAATACTAACTTCATTCAGGGCCGTTCCATTAAATATAGGGGCCCTGTTTAATTATTTAATTTGGACCTTCATTGTTTTTATTACGAGATGCAATCTAAATATAATATAGTAAATAGACAAAGATAATAATAGATAGATAAAAACATAGGGAAAAAGATTTTTTTTAATACTTAAATTTCGCTATAATGACAGAGATTTCTATTTATAAATGTAAGGAACATAATCCCCAAAAACCTAAATTGCAAAATAGATGTTTAGAGATCTAGAAAATCTCTATGTAATTGAGTTCAAATTCATTTGAACTCCAAGTTTTTGTATTCTATAACAAAAATAAAAATGTAATTAAATTTTTTTTGTCCAAATATAAGGCATAAAATTTTAACAAAGAAATAATACAATTCAAAAGTTAATTTAATCGTGCCATTTTTCGTTCATATTTAAATACAAAATTATTCACCAAAATTTCAATGTTAATTCATTTTAAAGTTTTATTTTCAATTACAATTAAGACCAATCTATGAATTCAAAAATTATCAAGTATTAAAAAAAAATAGATTATATCTATAATATTTTTTTAAAAAAAAATTGGGCCCCCGAAAATTGGGGGCCCTGTGCGGTCGCGCCGGGCCGGCATGGCCAGGACCGGCCCTGACTTCATTGCAGTTGACTCCATAATCTTTTAATTGTTGCTTCATCCATAGAATCTGTGCGCAACAACTCCCTGCAGCGATATATTCAGCTTCGGCTGTGCTTGTTGCAATGGAGTTTTGCTTCTTGCTAAACCATGAAACTAACCTTCTCCCTAAGAACTGGCACGTTCCTGAGGTACTTTTTCTATCAATTTTGCAACTTGCAAAATCTGCATCTGAAAAACCGGTTAGTTAAAAATTTCCTTCTTTAGGATACCATAATCCAACATTAATGGTTCCTTTAAGATATCGGATAATCTTCTTGACGGCAAGTAGATGGCTTTC